ACGATCGCCTGCACTCACACTGGTACACGGGCGCGCAACTCACGCCGCTTGACTAAAAGTACGTCGTTCGTGCCGGTTCAGGAACGTGCCTTCCCTTTAACAATTTAACAATGAATTGCGGAGTGAATAACTTTCTGTTTTAAGACGACTATGATATAGTGATGAAAGAGACTGAGTCTTTTAAGGCCTTTTAAAAAACCTCGATTAATTTTTAACGCCTCACGAGTAGTCTAGTCTTTTAACCCTCGATTCTTGAGTCAGAACACTAAAACAAAACTGAAGACTAGGAAAAACTAGAAAAAAGTATTGTATGCAATCATTATATAATTAGGGCTTAAAATCTCGTACTTATCGCTTAAACCACTCTTTGAGTCCTAATTTTTATTATAAGTAAATAAACGTGATTATTTACTACATACTACGTCATTTTTATTTATAAACTTCGAGTTTAAGAAGACAAAATAGACATAAGTCCATTGCAAACAATTCGAGTCGTTTAAGTCGTATAAGTCGTTTCAAGTCTTTTAAATCTTTTAGTATAACGACAGAGTCTTATTAATAAAAACTCGAACCTCGAGTCTTAATTTTAGAGTCGAGTCCTGTAAGTCTATAAAACGCCTTAAAAGAATAGTCTCTTTCATCACTACTACATAGGGCGCACTATAAGTTTCCGGAACTGGCCACTTACATAAACAATATTTAAAAAGTAATTACAACATTTGAAAATGGATCTCTGACTGTGGAATACAGTTTGTTTCATCTGACTGTCACTTGTTTTTAGATTGTGGCGTCATTTTACAAATTGGTTGTCTATGTCACCATGGATTTATCTCGAGAAAATTTTGATTTGACATGATTTTCTACGACTTTAAGTGTAATTGAACAGCTCAGCGGAGCTTCACTCGGCTTCAAACTGCTTTTGGCGATGAAGCACCATGCAAGACGATTTATATAGCTGGTTTGCAGAATTCCAACGCAGTCGTGTGAATCTCAGTGACGAATGTCGTGATGGTCGCCCGTCCACTGCTGTGAACAACAAAAACATCGATGAAAACAGACAGGCATGTGATATACCATGGGATTCGGGCATCTTTAGACATAGGCATGAGTCAAATACAATCAATACTACACATATGTTTGGGTGTGAAAAAGCTGTGCTTTCGGTGGATCCCACACAATTTGACTGAGGCTCAAAAAACGGATTGCGTCACTTGGTGCAATGCCATGCTTACCAGATTCAACGAAGGGGCGTCAAATTTGGTGTGGGACATAATAACAGGTGACGAAACATGGATTAATGGTTACGATCCCAAAAGAAAGCAGCAATCGTGCGTATGGGTCTTTCCAGATGAGAGGAAAACAACCAAAGTGGCGCGCGTACAAAGTGCCTTTAATCGGATGATTGCTTCTTTTTTAATAAAACTGGATACGTTTGGAGAATCTTTGTACCGTGATTGGTACGCGACCATTTGTTTGCCGGAGGTTATTGACAAACTCCGTAAAAATAACAGTAAACGCCGTATTATCTTGCACCAATTAATGCCAGTTCTCACACGGCCAGAGAGAGAAATGAATTTTTGAAAGTTAACAACGTTGACCTTATGAGCCATCACGCGTAAAGTCCCAACGATTTTCATCACCAAAAGAGGCTGTCGAAGAGTATGAAAAATGTGTTTCAGAGGTTGTCACGGAGGAGTGACATAAATGTTTTCAAAATTGGTTCATTCATATGAAAAAGTGCATTAACGCTAATAGAGAATATTTTGAGAAACAATAAATTCATTTCTGCCCATTTATAGCATTTTATTCTTATTCATTCCGGAAACTTATAGTGCGCCTCACGTATGATTGGTAGGCACTGCGAGAAGAATTGGGGTGTAAGTTTCACGTGTCTGAATACACGCGCGTTTCGCATAGTACACGCCGCGTCATTGTCCACGCACTCCGTCATAATGGCTCTGTGGAGACGGACCGAACCGTGGCTGGCTGCGTCTCATGTATACGAATTTCAAGAGCACCAAAGAAGAGAATACGAGCGGCTGTAAGAGAGAGAATGGGAGCTCGAACTCAGCGAATTTGCTTTGTCACAATAACATGAAGATTTGATGACATCGACTCTGACCAGCCAAACCAGACAGGCGCGTTGAAACAACTAATATGATCAATGAGAACTACGTTCTCCGTTGTTTGTGTTTTACGGTAGGGTGTCCAAAGCTGAAGTGGTACAGGGTCAAGAGCACATCAAGCTTGACACTTAAGACTTAAATCCCACTCTATGCCGCCTACGATGAGAACAGTTCAAAGAACAAGGTGTCGAGCTTGATGTGCTCTTGACTGCTTATCCTGCTCTCGAAGGCGTAAAACAGATAAAGGCGCGTCTGCTCCCTCGCATGTCGGTAGATCTGAACTATTGAGAGGCTCTCGCACCTAATCAGTTTTTACTTGTGCGGCCAAACGAACTGCCAACTGATAACTGGAAGGAGAGGAAGCGTGTCGGCGAGAATCGCGAGTGGTAGGTGATGCCGCACAGTTTATGGTGCTGGGTTAAGGAATAGGTACTACGCAGCTAATTCCATGGACCAAGTATCTCGTTGACCTCGCCTTAGAGGATTTACTTAACGTTGTAGACTTTAAGATACAGCGGAAAGTTGGGTTATTTCTACTATTACTAATACTATTTACAGGTTACAGTGTGTGTAGTAACCTATTTGTTAGGTAGAATTTTAAACAGCTTAGTGCCGTTATGCTCCGTTATGCTCTAATTTAATCGATAATAGGTCGTGTGAAACGAAATCAAAAGCCCTAGGCATGCCCAAAAATAGGCCCGTTGTGTACAGGTTTTTATTTACATTTTGTAAAATCTCAGCTATGTAAAACGCTGCATGTGCTGTTGAATTGTTTTTCTGAAACCCATGTTGATAATCTTGTATGATTTTGAAACGATTAAATCTTAATAAAAGCTGGTTGTACCTGACCTTTTTAAATATTTTTGAAAAAACTGGAATCTAAAGTGATAGGTCTGTAGTTAGTAATGTCTGTAGTGTCTCCCTTTTTGTGCAATGGTCATCCGTGGGATTGAGAGTTTTATCTGGAAAGTTCCAGTTTCTAAGGAGAGATTTATTAGAAAGGCAAGTACTCCGCTTATCTAAGTAAGAAACGGAGGTTACGATAGACATGTTATTTTCAGGCGCTCTGCACGTAATCTGTCTGTCCGTCTGTCCTCTACAAATGATTATAGGCTGTGTTAAAAATGTGAATGAGAGTAATTTGTTTACCTTTTTGTAATATATAAAATATAATGAGAATGAAAGAAGATACATTCTCAATTTAGACCGTTTCCACCTTAAATGCCTGCGCTCCATTACGAACGTTTAATGGTACGGTCGAGTGCGTAATACCGAAGTCCTGAGACGAGCCAATATTTAAGGCATTGAATTTACCTAATGCATCGACAGCTTAGATGGTGCGGTCACGTATCACGTATGGCGGAGGATACACTGGCGAAGCGCATCTACTACTCTGAACTCGAGGAGGGAAGGCAGGGCAGCAGGCAGGTCGACTCCTCAGGTATAAAGATGGTCAGGAGAGACATATGAGAAGATGCAACATCGAGCCGTCTCAATGGGAAGATTTGGCTGCACTGCGCCTTGAATGGCGGGGGATTATGAAGAAGCAAGTCCACAAGTTCGAAGAGCGGCGTAAAGCGTTTAGGGGCCCACCTTCCGCTATTACAGTAATTACGTTGGCGGTGAACTCACGTGCTCTCAATGTGCACGAGGGTTCGCCACGAAGATTGGCTACATTAGTCATGTTCGAGCGCATCAACGCCAACTCAACTAGGAGTCGAAGTGGTCGCCTTGATCGAACACGGTCGGATAGATAGATATAAAACAGAAATGTTTTATTTCAGGTTATATCAGGTTCACTTTGTTAGTAAATTACATAAAATTTGTTTGTGGGTCTTAATTACGAAATTAAACAAATAATAAGAAGAGTAAGTAAAAAGTGAACAGGACACAATTCTTGCCACGATTACTGAGCTCCCAGTACGTGAAGTTTAGTAAACCTTGCGAGCAGAACAGAATCCAAAATATCTATTCTATTGAAAACTCTTCGAGCTCTGTTACACTTTGTAGACAGGATTTTTTATTTTTTTTATTTTTTATTGTGACTCGGCAAAATGACTGCACCGCGCCTGATGGAAAGTGCGAATACAGTCCAGAGATGAGAGTAACGGATGGAAAACACAAATATCTTCACTCCGTCACTGATGCACACATTCTTTCGCATCAATGCACAAAAATCGGCTACACCGACGCGACGTCGGCAAACATGCCGGACGCCTTACAGTAGCGAGGAAGCCGAAACAGAGCCATTATTATAAGCCAACACATTTTGAACAGAATGCGTAAGACTTGTGAGCCTTCAGACTGCTTGTGTATATATTTGAGCTACACGATGACAAGCTGTGTATTTTCTTCTTATGTTTAGGTTGTCATTTAAGTTTTTCGTGTCTCTGAGCTCAAGACTTTCAAATTGCTTTACGCACCTCAATGGAACACCGCAAATAATTAAAGGTGGAACAATTGTCTGGACAATGGCCGTTATATTTAAATAACATAAATAATCATTCGTTATATATTTATATATACAAAATCCCATCGCATAGCTTAATTTACAAATTCTTAATTTAATAATTATAAATAATTTGCCACTAGTCGACATGCCCAGCAGCCCCATGCCGTCCGAGGATTAGTAACACGCACAATATCATTTCCATTTATCTATTATAATATGTTTTAGAACAACTTGATTATGTATAACTAAGTTCGGGGAGAATATTGTTTCATATTAATGTTTACAATAACGGTTCGACATCTTGCAATTTGTTTCTGTGTGCACTCAATACGGATGGACTTATTGTAGTGCATGGGCGAATGTTATTATTATTATTATGTTCATAATTTAGTTGCATACTTGAATAAGTTACTTTTTTCCAGTCGCTGCCTGCTACTGCGTACTTTCTTGATTATCCTCCACTCATTGATACCATGGGTGACCGCAACAATCCCATAATGTTTGGACCTGAGTGGCTCCGTAATTTGCCACGAGAGCGCAATGCTGGAAGTTCTGGCAATAACAGTCAGAACGCTACCACAGCTTCAGGACCTGGTAATTCTGGAGCTGTGGCGTCGAATGCAGTTGCCACCAGTACATCCACAATGACAAACACTTCAAACACAACTCCTAAAGTTCAGTTGGCTAAACTCAGATATGGTAGAGAAGAGATGCTGGCTTTATATGATAGAACATCAGAAGCTCCACCAGAACTAAAGTACATTGACATACTGTACCAGCCTACGGGGAAACCCCCGTTTGCGCTAAATAATTCATTTGAAGATGAGATGGTGGGTCATACAATTTTAAGTTTGCTTTATTGGTGAAAGAGTATTAATTTTAATAAATTTTATACTTTGCTTTTAGCGAGATTCTATGCGAACAGGACCACCGATTGGGGCAATGCCGCCTGGGGATAGGTTTGGGGGGATGAGCCGTGGCATGGGCAGAGGAATTAACGTCAACGAATCCGGGCGTGGTCGTGGGGCTCGCATGGCGTTCACACGCCAGCCGTCATCCGGAAGGTAAGCACCAGCCAACTTCAGTTTCTATTTCCAATTAAAAAGAGTTGATTGAATTACATCTATTGAATTACAATAACTACGGCAGGAGTACCACTTCGTGGCACTTGGGAGCACCCAGAATGCCCAGCTACAGTGGTGGGACAGACGAAGACTCCGCTCCTTCATTACGGTCTTGGAATAACAGCAATGGAGGGAATGCCGCCAACAGAAGCAGTGGGGATCAGGCCGAGTGGGCCTCAAATAAAATGTTTAGAAAGTATGGACAATTTTCAAATTTTGTACTATTTGTTTTGTTCGTAACATCGAGAATAAGATAGGTGTTAATAATTACTACGTCTTTAATTATTACTACGTCTAGTCAATGTAATTTACTTTGTACACAGTAAACGTCCCGGCGCTAATACCAATTGGAGGCAGTCGTCCCGTGATGACGAGGAGTGGCGTCAGTCAGATACAAACAGATCACGCTCACAACAGCAGTGGGGTTAGTATTGACGTTATTAGTATGTGATAAGGAGTGATATGACCAAGTGCACGATTTGTTCGTCCCACATTTGGCATCATGAAAAAAAATATTTTGAAAATAATATTGACTTGAGATATTTATTACTTATATCAAAGAAGACTAGCCAATAAATTATGTACATCGCTTGTAGAGAGAGATTGGGGCGACAGGCCACCGCAAGATAAGCAGTCTTGGAATTCAAATCGCCGGGGTTGGGGTGGTGATACACAAAATGAAGACAATTTACCCGAATGGTAAGTGTGCCAAACATTCACATTTACATGTGCGTTTACCTAATTAATTGGCTGTATCTACTTGCATTTAAAAACGAAAAAAGTGTGCCTTACAATATTTAGTTATATAGCCATGTTTGTGTTCCACTGCTGGTCGAAGAAAGTTTTTGAATTATAATACATACAATGTGTTGATGTGCATTCTCACCATATTTGCAGAGGTCATTCTATATCCGAAACTGGACCCAAATCACAAAAATGTAAATCGAAAAAAATATCCTAAATTCTTATTTTTTATTTAATTGCGATTGATTCACAATCGCCTGATCCTGTATGAAACAAAGGTCATTCATTTGCACAGCACGTGCTACCAAACTTTATAGCGCAGCCGCAGGAACTGAGAAAATATTGCTATCTTTTTCTCAAACCCATTAAGGGCACGCGCCTGCCTAAGTAGTGTGCTCCCTCGCGCACAAGAGTTATGTGGGATAGCCGATCTTGCCACAATTCAAGTGATCTAGCTAGTCTTTCACGAAATGCCACGTGGTTTGGTATGTAAACAAGAGTCAGTGCAAAAAAGAACCGCCACCAGTTTCACCAGATCCTGCATTACCATCAAGTGCAAGTGCGTGACTATTGCTTATGGGATGATGTGAAACGTTTAGTTTACTCGGAGGAAATTACGAGTGTCGAAGAATCGTCTCTGGTTTCGAAGTTGTGAAGTCGAATGTGCTAAGAAAGTTGAAACACAATTCATGTGTGAACTAGGTAATTCCAGCAATACTTTCATGTAACCTAAATTTGGTAAGTACCAAATCTAAGCTACAAAAACTTTTTTCAGTCAACTTTTCTAATTATTGTAAATAACTAGTAAATTATAAATTATGACAACACGGGTACATAATCGTAAATAAAAAATAGGTGAATAAGCGATTGAGAAAGATTACGTATCGCTCGTTGTCATTGCTCGCGCGCTGTGCATACGACTAGGGATAATTTTGCAAAACTTTACTAGATAAAATTAGCCAGAATATTGAACATAATATTTATTTCATATTTTTATTTGATTTATCATTATTCCTATTATTAATTTCTTAAATATGGCGATAATGCAAATCAACACACAGTATATGTGTTTACAAATATTTAAATGACCTTGTACAGATCAATATTTGTATTTTAAGTGAAATTCTTGTTTGTGTGTTTAAAGGGCTGTTGACAACGCAGAAGCGCCTCATGGAGGAACGTTTGACTCCTCAGGAGCTTTCCATGGATACAGTAATGATGACACTAACTTGCCAAAGAGCCAAGATTCTGCATATGGTAAATGTAAAAGGATACTGTTTTGCTTCGCTGCATACGTACATTCTTTTTGATGATAGTCCTACAATAAACTTTTCTTTGGTGTTATTGAAATGGGTAATTGCACGAAATTATACCTTGGTGATGTTATTCCGTTTGTATGTTACGTAATACTGATTTCTTTTTGCTCTTGTAGTATTGCTTCATCACCGATAAATAATGTTTTGAAAACCAGTACACTTAATGACTTCACATAACATTTTGTTGTTTATGTTAATGCCCCTTATTGACTTATATGGGATTTATGCATGGCCGTCACCTTATAAATTGTCGTGTTTGTGTCGTGTTCTGTGTAAGGGACATGATATTGAATTGAATTGATATGAATGTGTGTTTTTTAGTATGCACACATGGATACAGTGACGCATTTTACGCTTTTCTGAAATGATTTAGTTCTATATTCCTTTTCTAGCTCTCACTCGGTCGCACACACATGGCAGCTTCGCAAGATCAAGAACATCTGAGGAGTCTTCAGAAGAGTGGTGGGCTTCTGAAAAAGCAAAGAAATTGTCTCCAAAGAGATTTGATACCAGTGACCTCAAGTTTAAAAAGGTAAATACTCGCAATACAGTTTAATTTCAGTCCTGTTATAATGGTATTCGGTACCCAGAATTCTGAGGTACACCTTAAACTTGAGATAAAAGTTAATCAAATTATCATGTCGTCTCTTTTAGCAGAGTGCAGTGATCCCTGATTTGCCTGGTGCGAGTTCTTCTAAAACATCCAACAAAGATGAAAAGGCACATGAAAAATCTGATGTAGCTGCGTCGAATGTCGAACCGCCAGATAACTCACTTGGCGCTGAGGATTCATTTTCAAAAAAGAGCGTCAGGTTTGCCGAGAGTAAAACATTTGATGCGATGATGAGATCCGATATAAATCTAGAAGAATCCACTGACGAGAGAAGCAATTTCCAATCAGTCATGATAACGCCTAACAACAGCTTGCGTCAAAAACACCAAAACATCGTGGCATCATCTGTCAAGAACCAAAATCGTAAAGGCGGATTACTCCAGCTCCTACAAAACAAGACACCTAATCAGCCCTTGGACAGGTAAGACAAAAAATGTGATTCATTTTTGCTTCATTAATATTTTGCGTTCATTCTGAATTTGTTTTCGCCGAGAAGAACAAGCGAGAAGCTTAGTTGATGTTCCCTTCAATGCCATCGTTATATTTGACTAAATTCTTTTGTGATTTTATGCTGATATAATTATTTATTTATACTTCAGTGAGCAGATGAAAATTACCCCTGAGGGAGAACTGGTTGAAGATGTCATTGATTTAAATTTGGAGAATAAAGAGTTGCTTGCAAATTTGCCATCAGCTGGATCAAATTCAATGGTTTCTAACTCAGGCTTGCCTTCATCAATGTCAACAGTTGTGAACTCCTTGCCTCAAATGCCTAATTCCCCTATGCAGCTGAGAATTGCCAGTCCCGTTCTTCCAAATCAACATGCTATGAATCAGAAGCCAAACTTATCTACACATGGGATGCAAGCAACTGGAATCCAGAATCCAGGAATGCAATCCGTTGGCATTGGTAACTCAGTATTGAACACGCCACTCGTCTTACAACCACTTGGTCCATCAAACAGTGGGATGGGACAAACCATGATTCCAATTCAGGGGATTCCGCAAGCTGTTATGCCTAATCAAGGAATGATAAATCCAAATATGGGCGCCACAGGAGTTCCAAGTGGAGGGATGGGAATTCCTGGTTTCCCTACAGGTGGCAATTTACCAGGAATGTCGAATGCAAATGTCGCTAACAGTTCATTGTTTATGGGGCCAAATATAGGTCAAAGTAATAGTAACGCTGTAAGTCCCCTTGAAATATTATGGAATGACAATGCCTCGATTACCACAGATAGTTACACGCCCGCATAGCGAATCGGAATGTTAAAATTTAGTTTTTCATTTAGCCACTTTAAACACATGCTTTGTATAATATTACAAAAATGAATGCTTCTCTACTTGTTTAAAAGTACTTTTTTTTCCAATTAACATTAAATATTGGAATTTTATAGAAGATTGAAGTACATTGTACAGCAGAGGGTACATTTTTGTGATTGAGCACTTTTTTATATTGAAAAACCAACGGCTTTTGACGGAAGACTGGTATGGGCGTGTTTTTAAATACACCTTTGTTTCAGATGCAGTCATCTGGGGATATACCAATGCCAAATCATGGAAACCAAACTAATACCCTCTTCCCCATGCATGGACTGCAACACTCTGGAGCCCAGGCACCGTTTAATTCTTCCATTTACAGTAACATTATTCAGCAACCACCTCCTCCTCCTCCAGCTCCTAATTCTCAGAATCTAGCGGAACAATGGTACTACGAAGATCCAAAGAAAACTATTCAGGGTCCATTTTCTTCCAAGGAAATGTATAGCTGGTATCACGCTGGGTTTTTTAGCCCAAGCCTAATGGTACGCAGGGCCTGTGACGCAGTCATGCGGCCTTTGGGCTCTTACGGCGCTGTAGTGCCTTTTGCTCAGATGGTAAGATAAATATGATGCACATTAATGAATTGTATGATTGGTTGGGTAACAAATTTATTGCTTGTTCCAGGATTTATTGTCTTTCCCCTTCGAATCCCACAATCAAGGCCCCCACGAATCGATGCTCAATTCACAACAAGGACTTGGATTAGAAGTAAGAGACGAGAGATAATATTATATTTTGTTATTGAGCGAATATGAAACACTCCTAAAACGTCGCATATAAAAACTTCACACTCTGGAGTTGAAAACCAGTCTCACCCAAAGACTCCCATTTCACTTACTTCCACAAATTTACAACACTATTTGCCGTAAACTTCCTGAAGTTACAACCTGATTATACGACAATTTAAATAAAAAATAGAAAATTGGTTGTTAGATACTGACTATCAACAAACTGAGGATCTAATATTAAATAATAAATAAATCTTGCCACACTATTGCATAACACAGGATGGACAGGCGTGTAGCTTTCCATCAGGTGCACGACTTATTCGTCCCGTCACTTGATATTTTAAAAAAGAACACAATTATTGCGCACTTATACACATACACCTCCACACATTTTTGGATTCCGTGATACAAGCCTAGAGCGTTGTGCGGGGTCCGCTGGTAATTGTGCTTTAATCATAAATAACTATTATTGACTCTTATTATTAAGGAATAAACATAATTATAATAATAACTTTCGCCCATGTGCAACCTTTTTATGATTATACTACCTATAATATATATATTTTAAAGTTCTTTATTATTCGATTTCAAATACTTGAAATCGAAATTGAGGCCTGGACTTATACAAGTCCAGGCCTTTTGGAGCTGTGACTGTCTCCAGTATTTTCGCCAAGTGTTGTAAATTTAAACATGGATTGTGCCAATCAATCCACTTATTGGTGAAACAAGTTGCAGCGCTCAGTGATAGTTCATTGGATATTTTCGTGGAAGCGCTAGATCCTTTTAATGCGTACGTGAGTGGATCTGCATGTTAGTCTGAATTTTATTTGATTGGATGATAAAGGTTGATTATTTATATTTTAGGTGATGTCTGGCATGAACGACTCCGCGATTGATACAATGCAATTCGGCACAGTGGGGATAATGAGAAACCCATCCTTTGGCCAGCAGCAAATGGTAAAATTGTTGTTCTCGATGAGTGACTTGCACACTGGTTTTCATGGTGTCTCGGAACTTCTGGGTTCTAACCCCGGCCATGTCGATGTAGAAACACTTAATTTTTCTACATTGTCTCCGGTCTGGGTGTTTGTTGTAGCGACGTCGTTTTTTATTTCCACAACACAAGCGCTTTAGTTACTTACTTCGGGGTCAATGTGGTGTTGTCTAATATTTCTTGTTTAATATTAAATGCGTAGTAAATTACCTCGTTGCCGAGAGTTGTTACAAACATATCTAATTAAATGTCAACTACGAGGGGAGGTCCAAAAGTCCGCGGAATGGAGGGGTTGTAAATAATTAAAACAATAAGCTATTTTTCCTTTTCAATATAATTACCTGTGAGCTCAATACATTTTTTAGATCTCGAAATTAGCTTTTCTATGCCATCGAAAAAATATTTTTTCTCTTTGCTCTCAAAATGAGCTAAAATTGCTGCCTTAACCTCTTCATCGTCGCGAAATTTTTTCCCACGTAATTCTTTTTTCAAATTTGGGAACAAATAATAATCGCTGGGGGCTAGGTCCGGGCTGTAAGGTGGGTGGGTCAGCGATTGAAAGCCACACTTGTGTAGAGCAGCCATCGCAACATTGCTCTTGTGAACCGGTGCGTTGTCTTGCAAAAGCAACACACCCTTTGTCCATTTTCCCCGCCTTTTTTCTTTGACAGCTTCCTTCAGTCTCTCTAATGTTCTTGCGTAATATTCTCCCGTTATATTGACCCCCTTTTCTTTGTAGTCAACCAATAAAATTCCTTCACAATCCCAAAAAACCGTAGCCATGATTTTTCCAGCCGATTCCGACACCTTAAACTTTTTAGGGGGTGGTGTACCCTTTTTATGCCATGCATTGACTCCTGTTTGGACTCGGGCTCAAAGTGATGAACCCAAGTTTCATCTCCAGTAACAATTTGCTCCAAAATTGGGGTAGGTTCTGCGCCACACAGCTCCAAGAAGTGCATTGATGCATCGATTCTTTATTGCTTTTCAGACGGCGTGAGCATTCTCGGCACCCATCTTGCACTGACTTTCGTCATGCCAAGATGATCGTGTAGGATCCTCAAAATGGTAGTGTCTGATACTCCTACTAATGCAAACAGCTGTTTCTTCTTCAGACGGGCATCTTCCAATATAAATTTTTCGATTTTTTCAACATTGTCTGATGTGGTGGCCTCAACTGGCCGTCCTGGGCGAGGATCGTCTTCAATTGATTCTCTGCCATGTTTGAAAAGACCGTGCCACTTGTAAATCATTGTTTTACCAGGGCACTGATCCCCATAAACAGTTTCCATCTCATTCACAATGGTTTGAGGAGGTTTTCCTTGCTTGGTAAGGAATTTGATGACAGCACGAAACTCGATTTGCTCCATATTTGCAGTTTTCTTCCGGATTTACTTGTTTGTAGGGCGATATCTCGTAAACTAATGAAGTTAAAAGGGTGAAGCTTGATATATATACCCCTAATGAGTATCTGATTAGTACCACATCAAGCAAGCGTAATTAGCGGGCTCCCGCCCCCTCCATTCCGCGGACTTTTGGACCTCCCCTCGTATGTTCTCAATGAAAAGGTTCATGCACTTTTCCTATATTGTTAACTTCCTATTCTATATATATCTTTTGACCGCTCTATCTCTATATCTATCATAAATATGTTTATTGGGCTTGACTTGGTGTTAAGTTGATTAGGCATAGGCTACTGTGGCCGTAATGTCGCGGATTGTGACCTCCGTATAAGCTCCCCTAGAAAGTGCGTGTACGGCATGGTGGCAGACAGTGCAGTGCATGTTGCCGCCCAGTGCTCTCTACTTTACGGCCCGCTGTAATCTTCTATTTAAAAAATACTACCTACTGTATAAAAAGTCGCGAACTTTCTACTATCTACTCTAATATTTGGCTAACAAAACATTAGTACTTGTCAAAAGTTTTACGTACGACTATTCATTGGCAAATCAGGTGTAAATTATCAAAACCGTTTAGCCTTACAGTGGTGTTCATTCTTATTCTGTAATTAACCTGCACCCGTAGTATGCTATCATTTTGAAATTTTATCGCGATAGCGAACATGGCGAGCACCGTGAGGCCACATTTTCGTCGCAAAGCGCGTGTCGCGATCAATGTCTCCGACCAACGAAGATCACAGCTCATTTTAAAACATATTGACAGTTCTGCGCAGTAATTTTATCTACGTAATAATTGAGCGCGACAAACCTACAGACATAAACAGAAGTAATAAAAAGAAACAGGTTGTTATATATTATTTGTTGGAAAAAGGTGAGGAGAACATGTTTAATACAGTTTTATACGTGAAAGTAATTTGATATACGTAAATAATAGCTAATGTAATCTAAAATTGTCTAGTGTGGGTTCTATATTATGTTTCAGCGAAAATGTCGAGAGGATAAGAGGATCGAGTGCTTAGAAAATTATAAAATAAGCCGAAATGGACTTTTCCGTTATTTTTCACAAAGACTTTGTGTGTGGCATTCGCAAATTTTGAAAGCGTATGAAAGCTTTCTGTCGTTTTTATTATTAATTTATTGAGCATTGGTTATATACCCATCAGCTTAAACAGGTACCAAATAATTAAGAAACTTAAAACGTAATAATCTTAAACCAAATTTTTTATTTATGTAACTACAAGAACCCGCCATTTTTTGTGTTGTCGTTTTACAACGATGTAATTAAAAGAATTTCAATGTTCGTGGAGGTGATCAAACGACAAAGATAGTTATATACGCAATTTCATACCGTTATCATTGTTCCTCAAAATGTATAAATATTCGCAATAAAAAAAATAAAAATTATTAATGGCAATATAGCTTTATCAACTGCGATAAACATATCACGGGAGATTGATACATTTTATCATATAGCATGCGATGTAACACCGTAGCCGTAGCACGGCTGCTAATCGTTAAAAATGGAATTGGTGTTTTGTATAACATAACCGTGTTTTCTATAAAACTATGAATTTGCCCAAACGTTAGTGTTTCTACTACAAATACTAATGTCAAAACAGTACGACATTTTTGGCCTTATAACATTTTCTTGTGTTTAGCCGACCGTTGTCTTTTAAATTAGTTCGTAGTAAGGAGTTCAGCAGGTCGATTCAGAACCTTGCGATAACTTTGTTGTCGACCGATTCGATGAGATATAGCACGATTTCTTTTCATTTTTACTTTTACACAATAACCGAATCGAACGTCAAATTTTCGTATTCGAAACCGAATCGAAATGACGCCTCACCCGTACGATTAAATTACTCGTACTTCTCGACCGGCGAAGGCTAGAAACGTTATTCAGAACACTGTTATCGAATGAAAGTTACCGAATGTACTATTGTTTACAAAGCAAGAATGTAATAAGAAAATGTTTTATTATTTTAAATAAAATCTGGATTTTGTTCAATTTTATTAATTTGTTTTAATACGAGACTAATGAATTCCTATATTTAGGCCTTTAAAGTCTTAAAAATGTATATAACATTTAAATTTTATACATATAATTAAATTTAATTTTTCTTATAATCTATATTCGCCGACTAACTCCATAAACGTTGTTGGATAACGATATCATATCCGAATCGAAAATTTTAAGTCGAATGTTCTGAATAGCTCGGAAAGCGCCCTTCGATTCGAGAACGATATCCAATCGAACGATTCGGTTAAAATATCGAAGAGTTCTGAATCGGGGTCCTGGACAGAAACCAAACAACCTAAATATGGCGACCCCTCGTTAACTCCCAAAATATAAGAATTTTGTTGTTCTGAATTCACATCTACTTAAAATAAAATGTATTAAGCTTATACAAATTTATTGCATGAACCATGGTCCTTTGCCCAACATTCGTCATTGCTATTCCAGGATTCGTTATGGAGCCAGCCGTCTCCCTCTCCAGATTTAATGTGGATGCAGCAAGCGATGAACGCGCGTAACGAGACTCGAGTCAACAATCTGCCAATGTTTTTCTGGGACCAACAGGTAAGATCTAACGAAAACAGAGATGAATACAGGTTGGGTCAATTTGTCAGCACGCTTCAGAACCGTGTTTACTAAAAGTTTGTTGTAAATGATGTTTGGTGATAATTAATGTTGAAGCGTGATCACAAGTGGAGGCCGACCCGAAATCAAATTGCGATTGTGATTTAGTTCGTAAAACACTGTCGATAATCTACAAATCATGTGGACAATTATTATGTTCTTAAATATTTTTAATCTCGGAGTGATGGGTTGTCGATATGATTATTTCAAACAAAAAATATCAATTTTGAATTTGTAATGTTGTATGAAATTAATGACTTAGTCTATTTCAAGGGCAGTTGAACGTAAAAATGTTATTGATATTTTTTATTTGCGTATATTTATCTACACAATTTTTGCCCTACGATGCGATGTAACAATCTGATTAATTTGCAGATAGAAATAGCACAAATGTTTTTTCATTGTTTCTTAACTACACTGAGGCTTACTTGCTTTTTAATATCGCTTCCCAAGCAACAAGGAATCATGAACGACATGGGCATGCATTAGTTCCGTTGAAAAAATCTAGTGTCATGAGAAGCGATAAAAATGACATCCAGTAGTTCGATTTCATAATATTTTCACACTGAAAGTTTGTTAATTTTCACTACACATTTGATCGGTGCCTTTGTACCGTTCGCCTACAATTTCATGAAGGTAATTTATTACGGTTTACGGTAACATAAAAAGAGTTATGTATGCATATTATGGTTGTTGGAATATTTTCTTTTTTTTTACTTTCTACCGTACAATTTCATTTGCGTATTTACGTAGACGTGGCCTACTAAAAACTGTACTTACTAATTAGTAGTAAAGTAAAGTTTCACGTAGACCTGGTTGCCCGCCGCACGCGTCCGACTGTACGACATACTTTTTACTGTGGTGTTATGTGAAATTGCTTTAGCCACGCGCTTTAGGCGGCAGATGACGGATCGAGTGAGGCGTGTGTTGCTGGTAGCTTTATACCTGATTGATATTTAATGTTGCACTACAACTGTCGCGACGAATGTGGCTGGCGTGCTTGTGCCGCATGACAGTAGTGTCGCGAGGCAACAGAATGTAACATAGGTTTTTGTTTGCAAATTGCATTTTTCTCGCTGATCATGGCTTTATAACTTAATTATACTGTACGTTTATGTGTATATTGTTATTTTATATGTATGTATATTTGGAGAAATACCAAACAGTACAATAGTTTTACTGTAAGTAAAACCCTCAAATACTTTCATGATTCCTTTTAGTCGAGCTACAAAGGCGTACACCCGATTATGTTCCGTGGCGTAATGAAATATATTCTATTGTATTATTTTCCAAATACTCTACTAGCGTTGCACTGGTTTGCGTATGTTCCATATTATTATTTTATTGCGCAACTGCTATACTCCTCCCCGTTTGCACGTTACTAGCTCGTGGTTTATGCACTATACTTTAAATATTAGTGGCTTAGTGGTGGAGCGCTTGGGTACTACATGAGAAGGTCCTGGGTTCGATTTCCATTTGAACCAGAAGAGGAGTTTTTAATATCCTATCTCTGGCATTCATCGTATGGGGATTTCCTTATTTTTAGACCAGATTGTTATAATTGCTGGCACATTTATTTATTATTTATGTTTATTATAGTGTACAATTATCATACATTCGAAGTTTTGGTAACTAATTTTGCCACTTGTAACATAAAAGAGGCGTAGCACTTTTTGTGACGGCTACGAAAACGTAACACAACTGTATTTATTGTTAAGGGGTTTTTGCGTTACTAAATGTTTTAACCTGTTTACTAAAACAAGTCTCCGAAATTACGTAATAACCAGTGATCGGAATAGGTCGAGTATATTTACCTAAAATTCAAATAATACACATAGAATGTGTAATGCCGTACTTGTTAAATATAAAAGGTATAAAAACAAATGCTTATATTTTCACGTCTAATTACGAAACTTCTTGCAGTTACATATGAATAAGGAATGAAATACAATACAACAATTACGGAATTTCATTGCATTATCCAGTGCTATGTGTATTGCTTCCTCGAAGTTCGCTTTTTCCCAGTTGTCACCACTGGCGACAAATGGAAAAAAAAATCTCATATGTTACTAGGTCGTAACGGGATAAAAAAGTCTCAGTTGTTGTCAGAGGTGATTTCCTGTGGCGATAAATGGGAAAAAAATCCCATGTGTTACCAGGTGGTGACAAACGGGATAAAAAGATCTGTTGTTGCCACTGGCGGCTAATGGAATTTAAAATATCTCAGTAGGTTGCCAGTGGTAAAAAAACAAATGGAATAAAAAATTTCAATTAACGGGAGTTTATTGAGGCCACCGAAATAGAATAAAATAAAATTCGAGTTGTATGATAAAAGTATATATATTACAGATCTATTTATCCCGTTTGTCACCACCTTGTAACATATGGGATTTTTTCCCATTTGTTGCCAGTAGAAATCACCACTGGTAAGAACTGGGATTTTTTTATCCCGTTTGTCACCTCATGGTAACGTATGGGATTTTTTTCCCACTTGTCGCCAGAAGAAATCACCACTGACAACAACTGGGATTTTTTTATCCCGTTTGTCACCTCTTGGTAACACATGGGACTATTTTTCCTCCCATTTGTCGCTAGTGGCAACAAAGCCAGTGGTGACAACCGGGAATAAGCGTCGAAGTGTAGGTAAACATATTCTGCCTATTTCGATATCTGGTAATAACTTATCATAATATTTTATAAAGTTTTTTGAAAAGTAATTTCTGGAAAGCTTACAAAACTTGTACGGTTGTTCTTATTTAAATCTGTCTGTTTGCAATTTCTAGCTTTTCGGTGATCTTAGTACATATTAATTTTCTTAACCATATAACATTTGCGTTATTTTACATGTGGCAAAGCAGGTCATTGCAATTGTAATGTATGGGGCTGTTTCCCACGTCTGTATACAAACATTCTTAACAGATATCCGAAACCAGTCTCGAAAATGGTTTTGTGAAATTAAAAAAGCTATTACTTTCAAATGACTAAATGCATTTTATTATACCTAAATTGTAAGCTTCAACCAACTTAGGCAATTAAATTGTTTTTAAAGTAAACAGTGATCATTCTGTATTGTAATGTACGAGAATTTATTGAAGGCCCTTGAAAATTTTTATTTGTTTATATTTTTCTTGTTACTTCCATAGTGACGGCATCGGTGCACCAACGGTTGGGTGCTTTCCAGTAGAGTCAATTTGGGAATTCACTTTCTTAAATTTGTTTTGGTCTGGGTATTCTAGAAAGTGCCCGGGATTGAATTTTGTTGCTCTGGCACTCTTATATAGTACAGGGGATTCTATTCTTGTAGACCATGTAATTGGTGTGGTGGTCTGGCACAATATTATAAATATTATACACTTTACACCAAATGGCATAAATATCTATATCGTAACCAACGCCAATATGGTAACATTGTTCGTGGACCACCAGAAAATACATTACTCGACAGAATTAATAAACAGCATCAAACGCTACATTTGTGGACGTTTTCCTTTATGAGAGAATTGGCAAAATTAGCTTCCTTGTCCTCCTGCATCTGATTGAAGTTGATGTTAAATAAGCATCTAAACACTAGGACTTCATAGCTGTGCGTTGGGTGTTACTGAAAAACCTAGTAGGAATGAGTGAACTTGCTGGTCGCTAATATGTGACTGTTGCTTTGAGTATAATCGGCGGTTGATTCCTAGAAATATTTTTCTATTTTAATAGAATTAATATATGTAGCTTTATCTAAAAGTGTAACTTTAACTGTTACTTTTAAATGTGTTATTATTATTATTATTATTGTGTCATTACATTACAAGCCATATGTTTATATTTAATCGAATTAATGTTTTCCTGTTAAATTAAGGGTACATGTACATGGAACGTCAACGTTGACAATTTATCTACTATTTGGGTTCTACGCGTAGTTTCTGCATACAGGTTGTCTATAAAATTGATGCCAGGATCGAAAGGGGTATTGAACGTCTAACGTGGTGGGTCGTGGCATGCGGTGGATTTGTCGATTTCATTCATAAAGAACCTTTCTTTGGCGTCGATTTCATTGACATTACCGATGAGAGGACTGTGAAGCACCGGCAACAGAGAGTAATGGGTGTTTTAAACAATATTTGCTATAACGTTCTCAATGCGCCTCTAAGCGCAAGCATTCAGTGCATACAAATCGCTCGCACGCATTGCAGCCAGCGCAGCGGCGAGAGTGATGTATCCATGGGTATTTTGTTAATAACGTAGTGTCATTTCCTTCTCAAAACAAGTATGTTTTCCCTTATTTTGATTAAGAATTTAAATAAAATTCGTTAATTCATGGGTTCGGGTCCTTGTATTGAGTCATTCCTGTTTATTTATTCGACATGTAATATAAAAAGGCTTAAATACTCAAAACGTAAGATTACTAAAAATTCTAAAACACATATTTTCTCTCTACATTTGGAGGACTAACCTCGATCTAGTACGGCTGACAAAGTTCAATAGTAAGCGATTTTACGTTCGCTGCTACGTCAGAACAACACTGTGACCTTATTAAGCGATCCGTCAAGCCAAGACGACACCAATGACATTTTGGTTTCTATTGTATTTCATTACAATAAACTCCGTCAAAAAATAATAACAGAGAAATAATATACAGAAATTGAAATGTCTGTTGTGTTTTTCATCATATAGCAAATTGTCTTCACAATCCTCAAGGGTGTCTTAGAAAGGTTAAATGTGACTTTATGAACCCGTTCCGTTCATTTGTTGTACTGTACGGAAACTTGAGACGGGCAGTCCGGATGACTACTTACCTGAATCATTGAAAGTTGTAGTATAACGTACATGAAGTAATCTTCGTATTCAGAGACTGTTCTTTGTCATTTTACTGGTTTCTAATTAATGAAACTATCAATGAAAGCAGTCAAGTCTGTATCTGCGATTCTATTTGTTTGAGACTGTGGTACCAG